GCGTAAAAAACAACAACAACAAAAAACGCTCAGTGCCTTGTCATGCTCCTGCTCTTTTAAAAAATGTGGTGCTCCCATTGAAGAAATACGCTAGCCTCAGGAAAAAACACTTAGGTGGACACGCGGGCTTTATTTTTAAGAGTGCATCAAAATCTTTCATTTTGAATCGATTAGTGGGACGCTGCCATCAGTACACAGATTTGACTCCCAGTTTGGTTACAGTTCTATTTTGATTGAATGTGAAATAGTAAATTGGTGTCAAAAGATATCCTGACATAAACATACCAATCTTGCTTTCACTCTTCCTTTTCACGTGAAACAATTTATTGATGTATCTCACAGGACACACCTGTATTCACAGCTGTAAATCTGCTTTTTCCTCCTCTCTCGCACACTTAGTATAATCAAATAACACCTACCAAGTGAATTCTTTGTTAATTTAGTGTGTGTTGAAGCAAATGAATTACAGATCTCTAATGATAAAATGATAGATAAATTAAGTCATTTTGGGACTAGAGTTTGGTCCTCAGATATGGTTAAAGGTGATTTATTGGGAACATTTCAATTCCTTGGTCAGAAACAGCTCTGTGGAGAAAACAAGCAGAATTTCTGCAGCTGGCTGTTGAGTTGCGTGTGAACACTTTGTCACAGAGCAATCTCCCACAAACACAGATGCGTAAATACACTCTCCTGCTATGCTCACAGAGAGAAACTCCAAACTGAGGAGGGCAAAGCCACATAGAGACTTTTACCTGGTGTTTGAAAAGCAGCGAGAGTTCAGTGCTTCTAAAATACAACAACCCTGCTACTCGTTTAACTTTGTGTTTTAAATGCCTTAGCAGTGTAATAGCGGTCTTTTGGCAGTAGCAGGCAACCATGCACTGCTCAAAGGGTGAACGTGAAAACTTCTCAAGCCATCCTTGACAGTCTATATTTGTTCCAGCAATGAAAATTAAGCCAAAGTAACTAAACTAACTAAACTAAGCCAAAGTGACCATTGTGCGTGTCTGAGAAACACAGAATCAGTGAGTTGGAACAAATAGGTTAAGTAAATGATTCAATGACTTACTCTAAAAAGCCATGTGTTTCATTCCTGAATGAATCAGTATGTTTGAACGAATTGGTTAAGTACATGATTTGATGATTCACTCATAAAGAGAGTCTTGATACTGCCGTCACCTACTGGCATAACAGTGTAACTTGAATTAGCTTTTATTTTTATATTTTCAGTTTTCATTTTCATTTTAGTACTTTTAATATATGCTTTGAATTGTTATCGTTTTTTTTCTTTCCTATTAAAAAAAATCTGTTTAGCTTTATTTTTTTAGTCCAGTTTTAGTTTTAGTAATTTTAGTACTTCAACTTGAACGTATTTTATTTCAGTTAGTTTCCAAGTCAGCAAATCAAAATTTTCTAAAAGATCTCTAATCTTTTCATCTATATATTTACGTTTTATTTCAGTTTTGTACAATTCAAAATAATTTTAATATTAGCTCCAGTTAACAATATCAACACTGAACAGAACTACCTGCTATACAATAATAAGTATTCTTTAATTACATTAATGTTTTTAGCATATTTTGTCCAGACCGTTTTGATTTAACTTGGGCCAGAGGAGTTTCAACATCAACCAGCTCTGACATACGAAGACAAACTGGTGCTGTGTGTCTCATGGGAGCTGGTTTGGATCAGTCAGCAGCCTCTGATGTGCCATGTCTCTGTGCTCTCTGGAGGGTGATTTGGGGCAAGAGCAGTGGGCTGAAAACAAGGGGCTCCAGCAGCTGCTTCTAGTTGTGCATCTTTGTGCAAATACACGCATATGAACATACATACATACATGTTCATTCACACACAGCCTTTCTAAATGGCATCTAGTTCCTCATGAAAGATATTGAGGTGGGATGTTGGGGTCATCTGCTGAACCAGGAGTGCAGTTTGATACTTAATCTCATAAACATGACTCTGGATCCTTCACAAGTGGTGGCAGCATTCTAAAACTGATCCCACGGGCTGCTGTAGCACTCGCATCCAGGAATCAGTCATCTGTGCTTTGGTCTGGACCCAAATAACAAGAACCACACTGAGGGGAGATCAAGTACATACACAAGGTGTTCTGTTTCTTATTACTGCTGTAGTTCACCTGGTAATGCATGGCGATAGCAACGCCAAGGTCATGGGTTCACTTCCCAAGAACATATATCTTCATTGCATTGTAAGTTGCTCAGATAAAATGCAGTGCCTGTGTCAATCTGATAAAAGCTTTGTGTTTGTAATAATAGTACTTTATAATCACATGTACAAATAATAAGCTATTTATTCACCAATAAACAATGACATGAATTATTTGAGATACAAAGACTAAAAAACATTAAAAAAAAAAAAAAAAAACTTGGCTTAAAGGTTGGTCAAATTTAATCAACAATAAATCTTCTCATACTAGCATGTATGCTGTACACCTTGTACAAGACAGTAAAACCCAGAATTAGAACCAGGATCTCTTCCATGACCTTACTTACAACTGTTTTTCTGAGTTCACTGATGAGTTAGTCAAAACCAGACTGTATTCAGAGCTAGAGGGTGAGCAGCTCTATGTTAAAGCAATGGCTCGATCAGGATCTCATTAGAGACCTTATTAAAGACGTTTTTTGATGAGGGACATGAAGAATTTGGCAGCGTGAGAAGTACAAATCATGCTTTGCTGACATGTGTCGATGTGTGGCGGCTGTACTGGCCAGATTTCGCCTGTTATGACGTGCATCCGATTGTAAACTACCAAACGTCAAACTCACAAACATGTCAGACATTTCAAGATGAATGCAGCCATTTAAGGTGAACGAGGTTACAGAGAGGTGGTGGCTAGTTTTCTCTCTCACAACTTTCAAAACATACATTCTCATGCTATCACTCAGACTCATCTGTGTAGGTTACAGCACCACCAAGTGGTTTGATTATTTGGTTATGATTTTTAATAAATTAAAAGATCCAGAAAAAAGAGCATCACATCATTGTATTTGGGAAGTTCAGGTCAACAAATAATATTTTTATGGGTCTGAGGTAGGCAAATATAGCTATGAATAACTGGTTTCCCTTTAAATTCCTCTTTTTTTTTTGCCAAAACTAAAGTGTGGTTTGAAATACTTTCCTTGTGGAGCTTGTGTAATTTGTAATGACTGTGGGTATTGTGTGGGGAATGTTTACAACATCACTGTACGTGCAAATGAAACAAAAACAAAAAGTTTGTTTTTGTCGGTTGTTAAACAAAAAGTGATACGTGCAAGCTCCACATTACAGTGCTGTGATATATAAACCAAAAAAAGAAAGAAAAAAAAAACAGTAAAAACTTTGGCAGCTGAGGGAACTTCTTGAACACCTCTAAAGAATGGCTGGTTGTCCTACAACAGCTTTCACCTGCCAACTTAAGGTAGCTGCTTTACAAAAATATATTACATTTACATATGATTGAGAAGGCCAACAATTGCATATTGCATTAATAACCATAAAAATCCCTTTATGTTTTGAATGGTTGTTTGCTTGATTCAATCAGAAAAGTTAATATGAAATGCAGAGAGCCCCTGCTGAGATACTGAACACCTGGACCCACAACAATGCTGCTAACCTGAGGTTTGGATGCAAACTCTGGTCTCTGGCCTTTTTTACAGACGTTCTCAGGGCACTCTGAGTGGGAAGCTGTGGGAAAG